TGGATGATGGGAACTGTAGTCTGGACTGACATGTAACAGTATGTGTAGTGTGAGAGTCAATGTAATGGTAGAGGGACCTCTAGTGGCAATCGGCCGGAAGGCCAAGGACCGGATTCGTGACACAGACTTTCTCTTTTTCTGTTTTATGAGATAACCATTGTACCATTGTCTAAACTGAAACTCTATTTTATTTATACCTTAATAAGAAGAATACTAATAAATATTCCCCACCTCACCACGTTCAATGCAAAAAACAAACAACAACAGGAACAACAACAAAAACTCATTGGTTTTGGACTAATCTTGTACATTGCATACTTGGAATTAAACCCCTTTTTTCAAAAGGTGGTGAGTTGAATACACTGTCAGTAATTGTTTATAACTGAACGCCTTCGTAATGTTGTCTAAATATTTTTTCCTTTATTTATAATTTCTGTACACACAATACACGCAAATGTTACCATAAATTCTAACAAAGGATTAAGGTGTGATGTTACAGGGGCTTAAATACAGTTTCAAACAGTTCCTTGAGCCTAAAGGTCATTCTACTGAAGTCATTATCCTACAGGAAAAGAAATGGAAAAAAGACTGAATTTAGTCTATGGAAAAAACAAGACTAAATAATATTCATTATTTAGAATAAATTGATTAGCTACATTTCCAAACTCACCCTGTTGGCGGTGCAGTGGTGGAAAACATATTCAATAGCTGTGATAAACTCTCGCACTGTTTGATAGTCATTATTCTCCAAGTTCATTTTCACTCTGCCCAGCATCATGGGACCACAGATGTTCTTACTGTATCCTGGAACCTGGACGCCAGCAGTGCAGACTTCACATGCATGTACACCATGTATAAGAGCTTTAAATATTTAAATGATCCAGAACAGGACAGACACACAGGCAGATGATATTTACATTGACACACAGGTCAGTCATGCTCTCACGTAGCAGGTGTAACAGCAGGTACTGGCAGTGCTAGAACAAACAACAAACATGCCTATAAGTGTAAAAAAAAATTTCTCTGTACAATGAAAGAAATGTTTTGAACCCCACTGACTTCCACTTTATGGGCAAAAAATTGCATAAACTTTACCAGTGTGTACTGAGAGACTGGACTGCTCAAAACATCCTGTTGGGTCCTTTGACTAGAACTTTCCACATTCTTCATCACACAAAATGTGCAGCTCCACTGGCTTCTGTACATACAAAACACACAGTGTTACACAAAGTCACATGTTTAGTCTGTCTAATCCAGTATGATTTCTCTCTCTCTCACCCAGGTGAGTCTCCGCCTGGAGCTGGTAGGTGACAGCATGAATGAAAAGCTCGTGGACAATCGTCACAACACACGAGCTCTCCGTCAGAGTTACACACGAAACACACGTCATCATTCAGCTGGGACAAGAGTTCATACAGAAATAAACTATACTGTTATGGAGCACACTGTAGAAATAATTTCAAATGTCAGCAGTTCTGATGAGTTTTGGTGGTCTTGTTGATGCTTTGACATGACTGTAATTGTGAGTGATGTTGTCTTACTAGGTTCTGATCCTGTTCTTGGCAGATATCACAATCACAGTTGACTGCATGTGGTTCCAAAACTCTTTTCTGAAAGTATGTGAAAGCACATCAGTATTGTGTATACTGCAAAATCATCTGATCAGACCCTGCCATACCAACAGAGAGCATTCAATTCATGCATAGTATATGAAAAAGAAAATATGGAAGTCAATGGCTACCATTGACTGTTTGGTTACCAACATTCAACAGAAGAAAAAAATTCATTTAGGTTTGGAACAACTTGAGGGTGAGTAAATGACGACAGGATTTTCATTTTTGAGTGAGTACAAACCCCATCAAAATAACACTGATTGTAGCCATATAAATACAGTGCAAACAGCAGGTGTAATCATGTGTAATCTCTAAACTTCTCCCAGATGTCCGTAGGATTTAATATGAATATAAAACAATGTTAAAGGACCCTCATGGGGTCATCATGGCACAATGTGATCGCCTTGTTTGTTGATAGCCACTGTTTGTTTCTCTGAATTGAATCAATTTAAATGTTTACTATTTAGTATTTTCTTTTACCGTTATAAGCTTCCCAAGAGGCATTCCATGGGACACAATGTCTTTCTTCCATGTTCCATCTGGTTTGCTCAATCTGATGAAATCCTCAGGCGTCAGCCAGAAGTTCTCTGTTCTTATGCATCTCCCACAACGCCCTGAGATAAAGACAATACTGAGTGCAAAAGTCTTGTACCACTGCAGTCAAGCAGTGAATTTACATTCATTGTTAATATGTAAGAGAAAAAGCAATACGGGACTCTGCCTACAAATACCCTGATAGTGCCTGTCGTGGAGGTGTCAGATAAAAAGTGCAGCGATATATACCTTCAGCAAGGTATTTCAGGTTTTGCAGAAATGTAGGCAGAGTCACATATTTCCAATGAGCCTGGCTTGCGAGAAACAGATAACCTGTCTTCAAAATTTTTATAGTTGTGCATGTAAAACACTGACAACATATTAATATTCATAACTGTTATAAAAGCATTCCCACTCACACACCTGTGGAAAATCGATATTTGTGTAGAATGCCAGAATCAGAACCACAGGTAACAGGTAGGACTGGACCTTCAAACATGCTCATGTCAATAGCGTCATCATCATCATCGTCTTGATTGTCTTCGATCTTTTCATGTGATTCTACAACAAATACACAAATATTCACTAAACAGAATATAAAGTTTTTCTTATTCTGAATAACTGTTGTAATGATCTTATTTAAAGGAATGTTCCTCCAAAACAGAAAGAAAATGAGTCCCCATTTACTCACCCTGTTTTTTCAAATCCACGTGGCTTTTTTTCTTCTGCAGAACACAAAAGGAGACATTTTGGTAGCACTTTATTTTACAGTCCTGTTACTCGTGTACAGTACATACACTCTAAAAAATGTTGGTTGAAAACAACCCAATCACTGGGTTTGTCCATATTTAACCCAACATTTTTTACAGTGTACTATGTACTTATCATAGTAATTACAATAACTAGGTAAAAACTACAGTAGGTACTAACCCTGAACCTACCCCTAAACCTGACCCTACCCCATGTAGTTACCTTATAATACAGTACTTTCTTAGGTAGGTACACTGTAAGTACACTGTATGTACATGTAAGTGCATGTACTGTAAAATAAAGTGCAACCGAAATTTTGATGAACATTTTGGCCACTCTTAAGTCACATTTGAAAGCTTTGGCCTAGAAAGGTTAAGTCCTCCATGAAATACGATCTACAATGATCGAAAAGCAGCCAAACCTTTGCATCCTGAACCCTGCTTTTTTTAAAGGTTGTAGCTGGAAGAAATCCATCCTATGAACAGAAAAAGAACAAAGTTAGAATTTGTCGCAAACATATTTATACTGTATATGACAGTAGTTATTTATATTATCTGCATTATGTCTATTTTTGTTTCAGGTAACTGTTATTTATTTAATTTGTGTTTCTTAGATGATTTACTAACAGATCAGACTCACCAATCACCAAGTCCATATTAACAACAACAAAAAAAGTTTAGTGCATTAGTTAAAACTGTTATTGAGGTCTTATGCACCTCTATGAGTTTCTGGAGTGGAATCCCACTGCAAAGGATGCTGGTCCTCCACTTTTTGTTCTTCTCCTTCATACCAAACCTCTCAAACTCAGTGGGCTTGAACCATTGTTCCTCACTGAAGATGCACTTCTGCTCTGAAGACAGAAAAATGATCTATGATCAACCACTACTGGAATGACTTTGTTTCATCTGGATGTTCTAAATGTTCCAGAATAACAATATTGAGACATTCAAAAAACGTGTAGCTCTTCATAAACATTACTCAATTCTTTAACATGTAACATGTTTTGCACCTACTATCATAATATTTCTTCAAATACAGGACACCCTCTTTATAGCCACATGTAACAGGAAGCTGAGATTTGTTTTGAGTGTTTTTTTGTCCTGACGATGTTTCTGAAACAAGTAAAATCAAAATCAGTTAGGTAAAGAAGAAAAAAAACTTCTCAATAACATATTTGGCAGTGTAAAATGTGCCTCTTGTTATTTCGAAGAACTTGATTCATCACTGTTTTGTCATTATATTAGTAAAAAAAATAGTTTCTGGACTTACTGGGGCAGTTTTGTTTCTTGACTTGTTTCTTCTTAGGTGTAGAACGGGAGGACGACCCCGTCTGCGGTCTCTTCTTACAGCTTTGTTTCTTCATCCTCCTCTGTTTTATCGCTTGATCAAACAGTCAGTCGGATTCTAGAATTATCTGAGAGAGTCATTTCATAAAGGAGACGGTCACATCTTCAGCATTATTTGAACAGCAGGAAGCGGACGGGTTTCTCCATGTTGAGTTGTCTTTGGTGTAATATCTCCCCTCCCACACTCACAGAATCGAAACTGAAAGCTGCTTGGTCCTGCGCCTTTGCATCTGAGGGAAAATAAAACTATAATATCAGAAAACATTCACAAAAGGATATAATTCTTTGACTCATCCAGATAATGTAAATATTTTAAATAACATTTTAATTAAAATTAGGGCTGTCAGTTTAACGGGTTAACTTATTTATTTAGTTATGAAAAATAACGCGATTAAAATATTTTACCGCAGTTAACGCACTGGCCCCGCCCCCAGACCTGTACATCATCTTACATTTCATACAGTTAACTGTTGACAAATATGATGCAGAGCAACAACTCCATAAAAGCAGTTATGCCCTAAAATTCGAGATATTGGGGCAAAACAATGCTCCTGTATGAGTATTGGTCTCATATTTAGCCGATATCATATGATAAGCGATATCACACAAGCAGCGAGAGCAATATCGTTTGTCCCGAATATAACGAGTGCCAATGTGATTTTATACAACAGTTCAGTAAATAAGAAGTTAATATTGTGTTATAATTTAAACACAATATTGTCTGTTTTTGCTCAGTTTTGCCAACAAAAATATTATCTATGAAGCCACAGCAGAATTGTTGTGCGTCTGTTTAGTTTCTGAATGAATTCGCGTTTTGAACGAATCGTGTGAATCAAAGATTGGCCCATTCATAAAGAGAGCCATTTACTGAATTCATGAATGAATCACCCGTTTGAAGAATTGAATGAATGACTCATAAAGACATTTACCGACACCTGCTTGCAGCTTATTAAGAGTATTATTAAAAAAAAAAACATCTTGAAAGGGATAGTTGTTTCGTTCTGCTCCCCAACAAGCTTTAGTGTTTTGAACAAGTGAGACGAGGAAGCCTCTGTGTGTGTGGGTGTTACGGCGCTGCAGCGGGGTCGCTGAATCCTTTGTTGAGTGGGTGCAAACTGGCAAAAGCCAGGGGAGGACTACTTCTGGTAGTCGCATTGGTGGTCTCAGACTCAGGGTGATGGTGAGGACTTCCCCTCTGAGGAACCAACCTCCCAGGGACCCTCATCCCACGGGCACTCTGCAGCCTGTGGAGATGCCCAAGGAATGTGCTGGACCGCTGCATGTTGATCGCAGCAGGAGGGCGAGCCAGAGCTCTCTGCGGAGGATGATCCTGCTGCGCTGCCACCTTCTGGGATGGTAGCAATGCCGGAGGTGGACCCTGAGATGACGGCTATGCTTGCCCGGGCCACTGAAACCTCCACGGTGTCCTAAACCTTTGAGGCTGGATGATTGGATTCTTGGTGCCTTTCTTCCCGGAAGTGCATGAAGAGCTTGCTGATTCATGGACGGCACCTTTTCTTCCTGAAACTGTTCTGGTAGCTTTTCCCCCTCACCACTCTCGATGGCGGGGCAGCCAATATGTATTCTGAGATCCCGCTGGTGGAGCGGTCGGTTGCAATGCAGCTGTGTCCAAACTCCACTTCCACCTGGCATGGCAAACCATGTCTCCCTTCCTGGGCCTGTAAGCATTCATCTAGTCTGACTGGCAGTGCTTATGCGGCCTGTGGAGAGGCAGCCTCGGCCTTACACACTATGGCGTTGTTGCAGGTTCATCAGGCCAAGGCAAACAGAAGAGATGGAGGAAGCAGCTCTTCGGGAGATGGTGATTGCACCACTACCTCCCCCAGAGGAGGGCCGGGTAGAGAATCTTTTGTTGCGTTTTCGTCCCTACAGCCAGCGGTACATAAAAACCTCAACAAAAGAGCAGTTTCCTCTGTCTTTGGGTCCCAAGAGGGCATAGAGAGCAGTGGACGGAGCAGAACCGTACAACTGTCATCCTCCTTTATCACCAGCAGGCAGCAGTGGGCGGTTCGAGGGCACTTCAAGCCTTCTCATGCACCCTTTGCTCAACCGTGGAACCAGGTATGTGTTGCACCGCACACCCAGACCCTGCTTCGGGCCATCACCGAACCCCTCGACCCGGGTCCCTGCGTTCCACCTCGCTGCTCCACTGTAGGTGTGTCTGTGGTTCTGCTGGTCCTGCTTACATGGTCTTTGAGAGCCTGGCTAGCACTCCCCAGCCCGTCTCGCTGGCTCCTTCGGACCATCAGATTCAGCTATGCGATTCAGTTTACCCGGCGTCCCCCCAAGTTCAGGGGCATCCAGTTCACCTCAGGCGGAGGCAGAGGGTGCTCATGTCTTGTGAGCGGAAATAGCAGTCCTACTGGTGAAGAACGCGATAGAGCCAGTCCCTACAGTCGATATGAAGGCGGGGTTTTACAGCCCCTACTTCATTGTACCAAGAAAGGCAATGGGTTACAGCCAATCTTGGTTCTGTGAGTTTTGAACCGAACCATTCACAAGCTACCGTTTAAAATGTTGACGCAGAAATGCATTTGAAAAACTAATACACAATTTAACATGGCAAAATTGTAGTTTTAATACATTTTTGTTTGAACATTTGTATTTTTTTTATAGCCTAGGGTATTACACATGCCCCGATTCATTGATTCAGAGATCTTTTGAGGCTTTTCAAGCTTAAGTGCAGTCTTTTAGGCCTACAGCATTACCTAAAGTGATTGTGGAAACATCTAATGCCCACTTTCTGACTGTTTTAATTATTTTTATGTTTAACAGCCAGAAACAATTGCCCAGATTCTGTATGGGCACCTAGTGTAAAGAGCATTTGTATTTAGGTAATATTTATTATCTAAACATATTTGCAGAGCTGTGTAGTCACTGATTACATGCAATCTGGATTACGTAATCAGATTCCAAAAATCAAGTACTTGTAATTAGATTAAATTACATTTTAAAATACTTGTAATCAGACTACAGTTACTTTTTTTATTGATTGCATGATTACATATTATTCACACAATAGCAATAAATTATTCATAATTTATTGATTCTCCCTAATTCCTCTTTTTCATCTTACAAATGTTCCTTCCTAAAATAGCCTACTGCTTATATACATTCAGAAAGTCTTTCAGTTTTGTGGACATTCACACAAAGACCAGTCATTAGTCAGGTGGATGTAATTGCACAGAAAATTGAGAGGCCACACAGCATTTGACCACTGGATTTACTACACATTAAAATGCACAAATTCACATGATTACTTTTTCGTCATTTGAACCTCTTTCCCCTAATATTTACTTGAAGTCCCCCTGAGTTTTTTAAAATAAATATTTTAATAATTAAGTGTCACATTTTCATGTTCACAGTTTTCTGATGTTGGTTTATGGTCACATGACATGCAGGTAAACAAATAATAATAATTAAAAAAAAAAAAATATATATATATATATTAAGTGTTTTATTTTGATTGATATTGTTTTTAAATGGTTTATTTTACTTTCACATTTTTATAATTTAATTAAGTGACTGAAAATGCTAAATAAATAATGCGTGGCACATCATTTGCGAAGGGTAAACTTTCCATCAAGTTCAGGTATCTCCAAAATATTCATCTGAAAAGAAAAAGAACCCAGGTTAGACAAGCACAATGGAAATAGCTTTTTGTTTTGTTTTGTTTCATTTTAAAGACTACCATTAAGCCACAGAATTGAAAATATATTGTTTCATTTTGGACAAAATGCATTCAAGTACTAAGACACATGAGCATCAACTCTTCCTGTTCTCACCTCCATGAGACTCTTGAGGGTTGTGCCTTGGCATAATATACTTGTTTTCCAGGACTTGCATGATTCTTTTCCACCCATTTTCTCAAATATATAAGGGGAGATCATTGCTCTTCCACATTTTATGCAGTCCCTCTTTCCTGAAAATAAAGTTTAATTTTGATATGTTAATAACAGCTGTGTAAATGATCTATGTATAGTGTAAGTCAGATCATTTTCATCATTTAATTAGAAAAATGTATTTGAATATTAAAGTGCCCCTATTATGGATTTTTGAAAATTACCTTTCATGCAGTGTGTAACACAGCTCTAAGTGAATGAAAACATCCTGCAAAGTTTTAAATCTGAAAGTGCACCGTGTATAACGTTATAGTCTCTCAAAATACAGAGTCGACTCTGAATCATTGAAACGAGTCGTTTTTAAAACGAATCCCAAGCCGTTTCATGTTGACGTCAACATGAAACATTAGCATATTGCCCGCCCACTTATTGCGCGCGCAGACCTGGGAAAACTTGATAGATTTTCGATTTTCGCGTTGGTCTGAATGAAAATGCTAATTCATTCTTTGCCACTAGGTGCAGCTTTTGGAGCAGAAAAAACATGTTTCCCACTTTCCCCGGTAACAGCTGTACACACTAAAGCTGCTTTATCAGGCATTACAGGCTTGATGAAATGGAAATGAAATCGACCAATCAGACCAACCACCGCAGATTAGCGTCACGCAAAGGATGGGTTTGGAAAAATGAATCTTTGAGCGCATCGTTTGGGAGTCCTTGAGCAAATAAGGTAAAAATAAATGCATATTATAAGACAATGAAAGTGTTTTTTGACCTTGCATGCATGTCAACCTATTGTTGGGGACTCCCAAAATCAAAATATGAACCTTTCATTACCCATAATAGGGGCACTTTAAGGTTCACATTAATTCATTGCCACATACTAAAGTTGAGGAATGTGGTTGTTCTGGTGTTCTAGTGATGAATGTTTAACTGTCTATGTTCTTCTGACTGCGTATTTAGAGACATTTTTTTTGTTTACTCAGTTGGGGGAAGATGAATTGGGTGAACATGCTGCCCTCTGTCCTCTTTTTAAGAAATTACTTTTGGCAAAGTAAAATGAGCATTCTCTACAGTTTACTAATTTGGCTTATGCACACATACATAATCTGTGTTTTAAGTTGTATTTTCCAGTCAAAGATTGTGTTATATGAATTAAACCCTCATGTTAGTCCTCACTGCGGACAGTGTTTGTCTCGGGCCAAATAAAGGTGGCAGCACTTGGTCCTGTCAACAAAACATGTTTGCTTGGTGATCCTATTAAGGACTCAGGTGGATTGAGTCACACTGAACATG